TTTTTATTGATTTCAGAGAGAGGAAGGGAGAGGGAGAGAGAAGTAGAAGCATCAATGATGAGAGAATCATTGATCGGCTGCCTCCTGCACGTCCCCTACCGGGGACTGAGCCTGAAACCTGGGCATGCGCCCTACAGGAATTGAACCATGACCTTCTTCATGGGCCGATGCTCAACCACTGAGCCACACCGGCCAAGCTCAGCTTCTTTTGACTCTCTTATCTTGCCCCAGTAGGCAACCTTGAGAAGGCCCATAGATCAGACAGAATTTTGGTTCAGAACCCAAATAATAAAGGAACACAGTGAGTTCAGTTCCATGGAAGTATAGTGTGGGTGAAAAAAAGGGCCACATGCTAATCTGACAAGCTCAGAGAAGGCCCAAATAGTGGCCTTACGAACTCAGAGACCTAAAGTCACCAATAGGATGGTATGAAATTAAAACATTCTAACTAAAAGCAGTTCATGGCAGGTAGACATGTCCTAGGCCTGTATCTTTCCTAACAAAGTTCAATCTTTACCTTAACCGAACCTGTTGTCTTTTTTGCATCTACAATAACGTACCTGATAACAGTAACTTTGGAATATCAAAGTAATTTCTTTTTTCTAGACCCCCCAAAGCACAACCACCACACCACAAATCCCCTCATTGTTATTATTATCCTGTTGTTAACTGTTAAGTATCCTATACGTACCTATGTAGAAGAAGTATGTGTCTATTATTTTACTTTTTATCAAATCCCAGAGATTTCCCCTGTTTCGCCTTCTCCTGCCTCCCTAATCTATCACCAATGGATTTCATGTAACCCCCTTACCCTTATGACTCCTCTTTTGATTGTAATGTATAAAATAAAGTGCAACACTGCCATTCTCTAGAGCATTTTCTCAATCTCTTGAGATTTTGGTTTCTGGTAATTGTCATCAGTTTGGTTCAAATAAACTCATAAAAGTTCTTACAGGTTTGGGCATCTCTTACGTTGACAGTAGATAGAACTCACTCTGCAGGATCAAAAAGGGCCAAATACTGTTACAGGTGGAAGTAGAGTTCTTGGGGTGGCATGAAGAAAAGAATTTCCCAAGGATCCCATGGGAGGATGGGATTTCATGGAAACTTCTATTGATGATGTAAAATTAAGGGAGTTCCCCTCCAAGGTCCCATCTCTGTCCAACTCACCATGGAAGAAGTCCAATCTTGTCTCTAGCAGGACCAGAATAAAGGCCACTGCCCAGAATTTCTGCTCCATATTAAAGTCCAGTCCAGCATTTGGCTAGCTTAGCCTGTGTTCCCAGCTGCAGCTCATTGCATGTGGGGTCTCAAGGCCAATGGCCAAGCGGCTGCTTAAGGCCACGTGGCTATGGAGAGACAATGCCCAAATGCCCCCGTGAGTGGGAATCCCAAGCAAGAGTGAGCAAGAGAGCACATGTGAACAAGAGAGTGGGAACTCTAGGAATTTTAACCAGGAGCCTCTTCAAACAAATGAATTAACTTCAAGATTTCATGCGCTTCTGATGGGGTCCACCTCCTAGTCAATTCATTGTTCCCCAAACGTCACTGCCCATGTGCCCATTTTTCCCTTTGCCTTGTCCTTTCCCCCAGTGATGTGTAGGGAATGGACTGGTGCTTCCCTGGGGAGTGTGACACTGCAGCTTCCTGGTGAAGCTGCCCAGAGGACCATGCTTATAATGTCTGGCCTCCCCTTTGCTCTTTTCTTATTATTAATATTCACTAGCTAATTAAGATGCTAATACCATAAAACGTGGCTATCCCAAAAGGAGATTTTCATTCAGCTCATCCCTACTTCTGACGCTTAATATACCTGGAGACCAGAAGAAAGAGGAAGTGACGTGAGACTGCCTTTATCCATAAACCTGAAATGAGATCTGAGCTCCATGTTTCCGAATGAAGGGGACCAAAGTATTGCCACCCTGAAGCTGCCTTTTGTGTTATTGATTTTAAGCTGGTTATTAAGAAACAAGAGACTCAGGAAGAACCTTTGACCCTCCCCCCTTTCTTGCCGAAGAGATTCAGACAGAAAAACCTGCTTCAGGAAAGAAATTTTAGGATGTTCACCATAGTCTAAATAGCTTAATTTGAATTAAGTATGGTAAATAGAGGATTTCTGTTAGGGGTCTGTTAGTTAATACCCCTTTGTCCCATTGTTTCTGAGTCTCCAGCAAGGATTTTCCTGCCCTGTGTTCCGCTCTACCTGTAAATGGCCCATTCTCACTTCTGAAAGCTAAGACCCTCCATCCCTCCTCCCTTTTCTCCACTGTCCAAAATGCCTTGTATACGCAATGCTGCCTCACTGTCTTTGGAATTGTCATGCTTGTGTGAATTCCCCATGAGGATGTATTAAAACTGTGATTTTCTCCTGTTAATCTCACTGTTAATTTATTAGCCCAGATAGAACGTAGAAGGTGGGAAGAAAAGTATTATTGTTTTTTAGCTCCCACACTAATCAGACTCAAAGGATCAGGCCTGGCGCTCAGGGGTCTTGGGAAAGAGATAAAATCTGCTTTTAATGCCTCTCTCCTATTCCCTCCTTCTAGGAGCCCTGGGCATTTCTCCGGTAACAGCCTCTTCTTTCTGACCCCCACCTACCCCACCCCCATCATTCCACCAGCACAGGGTCGCTCTGCACAATGCCTGCATCTCAGGTTCCCTGGGGGAGCAAATCCCCTTAGAGCCAATCACTGTCCGCTTTAACAGAGGGAGGGCTACTTGAGAGTTTTTGGTTAAAATGACCCAGGGCCTCTGATGACTGCGTTTGTGAAATCAACTTTCATATGTTGCCTTTTTTTTCTGCTCAGTCACCTTCTGACCTTCACTGCTTTCTGTTTTATACTTGACAAGTGACACTTCCATCACTCTTTCCTTTGTGACTTTTTCTACTGTCTGGGGCCAGAAGCAGAAAGATGCTAAAGCAAACTTAGTGTTAAATAATGTTTAACCCTTGCAAAATTTGCCTTCTAAAGAGGTCCAAACAGATGGAAATCCTTGTCCTTATGAAGCATACTCTCTAGTGACAGTGTTATTTTAGTTATAAAAGTAAAGATAGTTTGTTATAAGGCGATAGGTGCCCTAGGGTGGGGGACAGAGCTCAGTAAGGAAATCTAGGGATTTGGGGAGGGCGCTGAAATTTTAAATTCAACAACCAGGTAGGTGTCACTAAGAAGGTGGCATGTCCACAGATTTGAAGAAGGTAAGAAAGTGTTTGTAATAACATTTCCGACTGCATTTTTTATGTTTGACTGCTGACAGCTCTCAAACCCCGCCACTCCCCTTCTTTTCTCTCTCACCCAATGTGTGGGTGAGGCAATGGTGTCAGGGGAAGTTCAACCATGTAAGCGCTGGACTCGTGCTGGAATGGCTGTGTGACCTGGGCAATCACACGACGCCCCGTGCACAGATTGTCTCCGCATTTGGTTTAATGCTCCGCTGTCGACATCTTGAAATGCTTAATTCACTTTGAGAGAGGGCCGGTGTTTTCATTTGCACTGGGCCCTGCAGATTATAGAGGCAGGCTTTTCCTTTCTCCAAGATCTGAAGCAGAGCTCCCAGGAGTTCTAATGACAAACTCAAAGCTGGCCTCTCAGGTTATTAACCAAAGTCCCACTTGTTAACTTCTGGGGTAATTGTCATAGTAACTTTTGCGGTATATTTTGCAACAATCGTAGATTCACAAGCAATTGTAAGAAACTCTTCAGGAGGATCCCAAGTATGCTTTACTCCGTTTCATCTAATGCTAACAACTTGCATCAAAAGTGTCTTTCTCAAGGTAGGAGGATAGAGCGTCATTTCTGGAGAGGATGTGGAGAAATGGGAACCCTAGTGCACTGCTGGTGGGAATGCAGACTTGTGCAGCCACTGTGGAAAACAGGACGGAGTTTCCTCAAAAAATCAAAAATGGAACTGCCTTTTGGCCCAGTGATCCCACTTCTGGGTATATATCCTTAGGATCCTAAAACACCAATCAGAAAGGATATATGCACCCCTGTGTTCATAGCAGCATTATTTACAATAGTCAAGATCTGGAAACAGCCCAAGTGCCCAGCAGTAGGTGAGTGGGTAAAAAAGTCATGGTACAAATTCACAATGGAATACTGCGTGGCCACGGCATGGATGGACCTGGAGATTATTATGCTAAGAAAAATAAGCCGGTTAGAGAAAGACAAATATCACATGATCTCACTCATATGTGAAATCTAAAGAACAAAATAAACGGGCGAACACAATAATGCCAGAGGCGTGGATACGTGGAACAGCCTGCCAGATCTCAGAGGGGAGAAAGGTGGGGGGGACGGGGGAAGAAAAATACCTTCTACAGCAGCATTTCTGTAATAGCTTGTTAGTTACATTTAAATAGTTAGTTAACTGGGCCTCTTTATACAGTTTTTTCTGCCCACAAATGTTAGAATTCAAGCCATTACCACTACTCTGTGCAGCAAAACTTTAAAAAAGAGTCTACACTCCTCCACTTCTTCTCTCAGATGTTTGTTCCTCCAACCCCCGTGAGCCCCTGTCATCAATTCACGGGGTTACATCCAGTGGGTGACTCTCTATTCAGCTCACTTCTCAGCAGCGTCCGTGGAGCTGATTTCTGCCTCTTGCCCGACCTGCTTCCTTCTCCTGGCGTCCAGGACCCTGAGCCCTCTCTCCCAGCCTGCCTTCTGTCCCCTTGGCCACCCCGAATCCCTCGCTGGCTCCCCCTTTCCCCTGGGTGCTGAGCCCTGGGGCACACTCCACACTCTGCTCTTCCCCACCCCTCCTCTCATCTCGCCTAATTCCCTGTGGCCTGGACCCCCAAGCCCCTCTTCCGTATTTCAGACGTGCCCGTCCTCACTGCCCACCCGAGGAAAACGTCTGTCCTCGCTCTAAGGCTAAGAGAATCAACTTTGTTAAACCAAGATGAAAAGCGGTACAATATTATTGAGGCGTGATCACCTGGCCTGTTTCCAGTCGTTGCCGAGGACCTGCTAACCTGATTCTGCGTTTCCTTCTAGGTCACTTTTTTATTCTTCTACTTTGAGGGCTTCAAGAATAATTTGAGAGGCCCGTTTCTTCTCTGCCAGCATGAAGTATGTATGTTTAAACTGGATTTTCTGTTTTTGCATTATTTCCAGTCACCTGTAAGGTGTTAACATTTTGAATTAAAATTTATTTTTTAAAATACCCTGCAAATCTAATCAGCTTATAAAATGTGAAAGTTGTCTTTTTTCTTTTCTTTTCAGGCCTATTCTTCTAAATTGAAGGCAGGAGAAATGGTTCTTTTTTATATATATGAAGCCTATTCAATGTCAGTTCTCCAGTCTGACTCTCTAAATTGGTGATTCAGGTTAGTAGGAAAGAATTACTATAAAAACAACAAAGTGAAAATCAACCAGTTTGTGGTCCTGTGAAAATGTTGTTCAGAGCCCAGCTAGCCCTGCCCAGCATCACTGCCTGCACAAGGCAGCCAGTTAACCAGAATTCCTGATCAATCAGGAAAAAGATTTTTCACTAAATGGGGAAGAAATGGAATCGAAGTAGGTTAAACCAGTTGAAAGTGGGGTCTATTGTAAAATACTGACAACTATTGGCACTTTCATCTGGTTTAACCTAATACGTAGGGGAATGATATGAAGAGTGATGAGATGCTAACTAACAGAACAACTCAGAAAAAGGTGATTTAGAACCAAGAAAAAAGAGAAACAAAGCAGAAAGTAATGAGAAATGCCATTCCTAATAATGGGGACCTGCTCAGGGGACACCTGGCTGGGAGGGGCCCGCCTGGTCACAGAGCCTTCCTCCCCCCGAGCATTTTTCCAGGTGCACACATCAGGGAAATGGGAGAGGAAGCTCTAGAGTCAGGGAAACCCAAGATAATATTGTCATAACAACGGCTTTTCCTGTCCTCACTAACTGTAAAGATAACTATGTGCATTGTGAAACTTTCAGAAAATGCAAAAATTCATAATGGAGAAAGTGATAATCGCTCATCTGTGTACATACTTCCTGTTGTTTTTTTCATGCATACTTGTGTAAACTACAAAATTAGAATTATAACCTTTACATGTTGTTATACAACCTGTGTTTTTTCACCTATGTCATAACACCATGGCAGCTCTGGCTGCTGCTTTTACCTGAAGACCTCCGGTGTTTAAAGCCTTGTTATTTTGGGTGTCTGTCATATACAGCTCAATGAAATCCTTATAACTCTACAGAGTAAGGTTAGGTCATTCCTGATTAATTCTTTCCTGGTCTTTGTGCAATGCTTTGTTAACAGGTCTAAGTAAATTATGAGTTATCTCAAAAGAGTGGACTAAACTAAAATTTATAGCCAAACCGTTGTAGATGATGTGACCCCAACACTGTCTCCTCCCCCTGCCCCCCCCCAACTCACACACTTGTACTTTGAAGGTGAGGCAGGGAAGGGTAAGTCAGATCCCCTTTCTTGTAAGGAGTTAGTGGAAATAGTAGAGCCTCGGAGTGGGAGGACTGGTTCACGTGCCGGGAGGCTGGGTCTCAGATGCAGTTCTGTCCCCAGCTGGCCCTGTGAATCTGGGAAGGACACCTTATCGCCCCAGACTCTGAGTCTTCATCTGTGTGATGAAGGTTAAGATCAATGATCTCAAAAATCCCTTCTGGCTCTCAAATCTTATCTTGACATTAACAAAGTAATATTAATTTTGCAGTTTCATAATCTGCAATTATACATTCTCATCTTCAACTCCATCTGCTTGCCGACCTCGGGACTGTGAGCCATTAAACTTGGAATAAAAAATGCTTAGAAGTTACGTTTGCCATTTCATTATAAAATAAAATTAGAGTGCCGAGAGTGTTTTGTCAGTTCAAATTAACATTTGGACACAAGAAAGCCCTGATGTGTGTGTACCAAAGACAGCCAGCTGTCTTTTCACACTCCTGCTGAGCTCAGTTTTTCTCAGAAT